TTTCTGTAGTGAAGGCTTTTCCTCACGACAGTCTTAATTCATGAAGGTCCCAGCCCTTCCTGACTCGTCTGCATCTCAGCTACATTGGCTTTTGTTTTATTTTTCTCCTTACTATGTATAATTAGAGGGATTGGGTATCTTCTGTAATAAGGTAAAGCTTATAATGAGGATGAAAAGGTCAAAAACATTGTTGAAGGAACGGATCTGGATTTGATGGCTTCCAGACGAAAAATTTAGAATATGTTTCAGATTCCAAGTTGTGTTTTATTGTGAACAGGGGCAATGCATAGAACTTTAAATTTTTATGCCATGTCTTAAGATTCATAAGTCGTTTGAAACAAACTTTGGTGGTGATTGCTTATAAAACATGTCAGGTACTTTTATCACACTGTTTTCTTTTACCTGTACATCAAAAATAAAGTCATTTAAATATTAGCCTGGGAAGTTAGACTATTCTTTTTTTTTTTTTTTTTTGGTTTTTTTTGAAAAAGGGTCCCCCAGTACCCCCACCCGCCCCGGAACCTCCTATGTAAACCAGGCTGGCCTTGAACTCACAGAGATCCCTCTGCCTCCTGAGTGCTGGAATTAAAGGCTTGGGCCGCCACCACACCCGGCTAGACTAATCTTGAAAACAAAATATACTACTAGTTGACTTGATGTGGTGGCTCATGCCTGCTTTAATCCAGGATAGGTAGCACCAGGAGGATCTATATGAGAGATGGCTCAGCGGTTAAAAGCACTGACTGCTCTTGCAGAGACCCCGGGTTCGGTTCCCAGCACCCACATGGCCACTAGGAACCGTCCCTAACTCCAGTTCCAGGGAAATCCAAAGCCCTTTTCTGAGCTCTTCAGCATTGCACGACAGAGGTAAACTCACATACATGCAGGCAATACACTCATTGCACGACACGGGTGCACTCACACATGCAGGCAATACACTCATACACATAAAATAAAAAATATTAAAAAAAAAAAAAAAAAACAACCAAACTCTAATTCCTTTGGGACTTTTTGTTTTTGTTTTTGAGATATATAGTCCCATGTAGCCCAGCTGTGTAGCTGAGGATAACCCTGAACCTTGATCCTCTCAGCTCTGCTTCCCAAGGGCTAGGATTGCAGATGGGCAACTCCATGCTCAGCTTCTTGGTTTGTTTTTGAGACATCAGACCTACCTTAACCATTTAACACAAAACACTTTGTTCAAAAGTGGCGCCAGTTTGTATTTTTGTGGTAATTAGGTGGTATTTGCAACTGTCCACTCTCTCCATTACTACCACTTGCATGAGAGGAACAAGTGCCCTTAACCACTAAGCCATTTCTGCAGACCCTACCCAGTTTCTTCAGGCAGCCAGTACAGAATAGAAATGGGTCCTTTATGCTCTTGCCTTTGGTTTTTTTTTTTTTTTTTTTTTGAGACAGGGTCTCCCTGTATCCTTAGCTGGCCTAGACTTAACTACAGAAACCAGGCTGGCCTCCAACTCTATCTCACAGAGATCTGCCACCTCTGTCTCCCGGGTGCTGGGATTAAAGGCATCAGTCACCACACACAGCTTACCTTTGGGTTTTTATTTGATTTATTTGCATTTGGTGAAATTTTGTGCTTTTTTTGAACAGTAGAGACAAGTTTCATTGTTCTAGGAAAAGAGAGCTTTTCATGCCAAATTCAGGCAGAGGAGGGAATTTAAAACTATAACAATATTAACCTTTTACTGACAAAGATAAATGAGGTTTTTTAGAGATTTTATAATGTGGGAAGTCCTTCAAAATATTTTTGGCAACAGCACTCCCACATACTGTAATGGTTTTTCCCCTTTGAGGCAAAATATTGACATAACTGTAAAATGCTTCCCTGCACTTCAGAAGTACTGAAGTTAAGAAAGAAATCCTGGTGCTGGAGAGATGGCCCAGCAGTTAAAAACACTGGCTGTTCTTGCAGAAGACCTGGGTTCGAATCCCAGCACCCACATTTCAGTTAACAACTGTCCTTGGCTCCAGTTCCAGGGGATCTGACAGCCTCTTCTGACCTCCTTGGGCATTGCACAACACGGGTGCACTTGCTTACATGCAGGCAATACACACACATAAAATAATAAATATTTTAAAAATTAAAAAGAAGAAATCCTTAGCAGCCAACAGTTTGCTTCTTAGGATACTAGAAACACACACATCCATAAATGTAAAAGATACTCATGAGACACACAACATTGGTTTGTCCTGAGTGGAAATGGCCATCCCTAGAGCAAAGTTATCTGACACAGTGCAGGATTGGAAGCCTGAGATTTATCATTTTGGCAGCTAGGTTTCAATGGTCTAGTCCATAACACTTTTTTTTTTTAATTTGTTATTTTTATTCTACGCATAGAGTCCATAATCTTTATAGACTTCTAAAGGCCAAGATTTTAATTCATTTGTTTTACTATTGTTTTTGTTTTTGGTCTTTTTGAGACAGGGTCTCTCTGTAGTCCCAGCTGTCCTAGAACTCACTATGTAGACCAGGCTGGCCTTGAACTCACAGAGATCTGCCTGCCTTTGCCTCCCAAGTGCTGGGATTAAAGGCGTGCACCACCATGCAGTCAGGTTTTACAACTTTTAAGCATCAACCATGTGCCTTATCCCCATAGGTGCTTAGAATAAACACAACAAAGGGGCTGGAGATAAGCTCAGTTTATCCTGGTGCAGAGTGGATGGGGAAGGGAGACATATAACAAGCAGTGGTGGGACTCGGTGCTCATGGTCCTAAATTTGATCCCCGGTACACTCCACCATGAAAAAGTAAGTGCTGGGATCAAAATACACAGGGATAAGAAGTCAAATGTGTTCTGTAACTTTAGGTGGTGTGTTCAGGGTGAGCCATGAGTGAAAACTGCAGGAGCCAAGGGAGCAGCCATGTGGATGTCTAGGGAAGAGTGTCCAGGCACTGGGGTATTGAAACACTGGAAACAGCAAGCAAATTGATAGGCTTGGAACACTGGTCAAGGAAGAATCTAGAATATGATGATTTCAAGGGACAGGGCAAATCTGTAGAACTTAGTAGGCCATAATGGGGACACTGGCCTTGACTTGGTATAGGAGGGCTTGGATGCTATGGTACAGAGGTTTTTATTTTGTTTTGTTGTAGCCCAGGCTGGCCTCAAACTTGCCTTATAATGAAGGCTGACAGCCTGGCATGGTGGCCTACACCTTTAATCCCAGCACTTGGGAGGCAGAAGCAGGTGGATCTCTGTGAGTTCCAGGCTTGCCTGGTCTACATAGTTCCAGGAGAGCTCGGACTACAGGGATACCCTGTCTCAAAAAGACGACCCCCCCCCCAAAAGAAGGCTGACCTTGAATTCCTGATTTTCCTGGATCTACCTCCCAAATTCTGGGATTACAGCCATTTGCCACAACAGGAAACAATTTCTACACATGTATAGATCCCCCTTGTACATACATTAAATGTATGTTTATGTGTATATGTATGTTATACACAAATTCATGCTTCACTGGGGATGCATTCTGAGATGTGTCCTTGATTTTGTCTTTACTCAACTAACACTTCTCAAGCTAAAATGGCACAGGTGTCCCTAGGTGATAATATGTTATGTGACCACCTTCATAACCATTGTCCTGTGCCAACCTTGGCATGCACGACTGGTTATGTGAATGTGTGCCTCTGTGTGTGTGTGTGTGTGTGTGTGTGTGTGTGTGTGAAGAGAAGAAACAAGGGCACCCTGGGGGTTCACTCTTTGAGGTCTGAGAAGTCCAAAATGAGCAAAACTGAGTGAAAAGAGCAACAAGTGAGGTAAAAGGAAAGCAGGGCAGCATTCGGAAAGTGAGCGGAAGGAAACGGCCAGCAGCAGCCAGCTGTGGAATGAGGTGGAGAGATCAAGTTGCCTGAGAATTGCGGTTATTTCATTGATGACCTTGGCGAGCATGGCATTTGGTGGGGCAAAAAGCTTCATTAGGATGAATTGAAGGGAAAAAAGTCGTTGGATTTCTTCAACAGAAAAGTCCAACAGAGGACTGGAGTTTGGTTCCCAGCACCCAATGGCTCACAGCGGCCTGTAAATCCAAAAGAGGGGGGATGGGGGGAAGAACATTGAAATGGTCGGGCTGGGACTGTAACTCAGTGGTAGAGTTTTTGTTGTTGAGTTTGGTTTTGCGACAGTGTCTCACTATGTAGCCTGCTGGGATTACGTGGGAGAACAGCCAGGAGACTGGCTTTGTTTTTGTTTTGTTGTTTTGTACTGGGTGGGGTTAGGCCTTGCTATGTTGCCCAGGCTGGTCTCAAATTCTTAGTCACCCTGGGTCCTCTCATCACAGCCTCTGGAGAAGTTGGTAATGCCAGCGTTTGTTTGCTTTTAATGTAAAAGAAACCCAATACTTTTGTACAACATTGCTGATGATCTAGAAAGTGGATTTGAATGTGAGCGTGGAGAGTTGGCTAGACGGCCCCTGTCCTTAAGGAGATAGGCGGCCTAAGTGAAGGAACTGGCTTTGGATGGAAGTACAAATAGCTCTCTAGTGAAGGACTAGAAGCAGAATATATGCAAACAGATGCTGGCAAGCAGATGTGGTTGAGGGAGTTCCTGCAAGAAAAGCTACTAATTTACTAAGAGTTGTGATAATTATCTGTACTTCATTTTTCTAGCTTAAGATAGAAATAATGATAAAGCACACCAGTCAAAAGACTCTGGGCTCCCATTTTGTGTTCCTGAGTAGGTTATGTAAGTGTTTTTGGCAGTGTTTTATTCCCCATCGAATGATCATCATCTTCTAGACCAATGCCTGGCAAACAGTAGGTGCTCATTAAATATTCATTGAATTTCTAAATGAATCCATTATCTGAATTGCATATGCAGCCTGTAATGCTAGTACTAGGGAGGGTGTGAGGCAGAAGAATCATGGGTTCCAGGCCAGCCTGGGCTATATAACAGGCTTGAGACTACCAGCCTGGGTTATGTGAGACCCTGTCGAAAAAGAAAAGAAAAGAGGAAAAAAGCACTTTAAAGACTGAGGCAGTGCTCTCTTCTGCAGCATAGAGACTAAACTTAGAACAATACAGGGATTAGTACAGCCCCTGCACAAGGATGATGCAGATTTGTGAAGAGTTGCATATTTAAAAAATAAAAGACTAAGGCAGGAAAATCAGGAGTTCAAGACCATCCTCAGCATCCTCAGTTCCCTAGTGAGTTACAGGCCAGCCCCAGCTACATGAAACTCTAGCTAAACAAACAAAGCAAAGAAACAGTTCCTATACTACAGCTGAGGAAGGCAGTGCACATCTGGAATTCCAGCATTTAGGAGGCTGAGGCAGGAGGATCAGGGGTTCAAGACCATCCCGGACTCCACAGTGAGTTTCAGACCAACCTGGGCTATGTGAGACTCTGTCCTCACAAAAACAACAAAATTATGCTTCATATGTTCTCCTTACCAACCACCCCACAGAGTTTTTTGAAAATAAAATAAAATAAAATAATGCATGTGAAACTGCTTTGTAATGGGAGAAATGGTATTATTTAAATCAAACTGTTTAAGGGCTGGAGAGATAGTTCGGGATTAAGATCGCAGAGGACCACAGTTGAAGTTCTGGCACCTACATATGCATCGGGCAGCTCACAACTATCTGTAACTCCAGGTTCAGGGAATCCAGTCCCCCTGGATTCCTCAGGCACTGCACTCATGTAGGCACATATACACATAATTAAAGATAAATAATTCAGTCTTGCCCAGTGTGGTGGCATACTCCTTTAATATCAACACTTGGGCTGGCAGAGGCAGGAGATCTCTGAATTCCAGGCCAACCTGGTCTACATATTGAGTTCTAAGCTAGCCATTCTACATAGACCCTGTCTCAAAAAAAGAAAAAAAAAAAATCTAGGGACTAGAGAGATGGCTCAGTGATTAAAAGCACTGACTGCTCTTGGAGAGGAACTGGGTTCGGTTCCCAGCACCCACATAGCAGCTCAGAAGGGTCCCTAACTCAATTTCCAGGGGCTCCAACTCCCTGTTCTGGCCTCTGCAGGTACTGCACACATGATAAATTTACATGCAGGCAAAACACTCATAGAAATAAAATCTTTAAAAACATATAAGATCTTTGAATAAATTTTAACTTTATATTAGAATGAGGATAAAGTCCACTGAGTTTCTTAACTTCTTATATGAATTTCACCTTTGTTTTTTGGTCTTTTTGAGACAGGGTCTCCCTGTAGCCCCAGCTGTCCTGGAACTCACTATGTAGATCAGGCTGGCCTTGAACTCACAGAGATCCGCCTCCCTCTGCCTCCTGAGTGCTGGGATTAAAGGTATGCGCTCCTTTTTTTATCTTGGAGGAATATACTAACATGGAAAGATCTGTCTGTTGGTTTGAAACTAGCAAATGGAGTACAATACTTAACAAAATAGTTTGGCCTAGACTGGGGAGATGGCTTTATCAGTAAAGTCCTTACCTTGCTGGTAGGAGGACCTGAGCTCCATGTGAAAGGATAAAAAAAAAGCTAGCACTTTTGCAATCCCAGTGTTAGCAAGACTTTGTCTCAAATGTTTAAAAAAAAAGATGCATAAGCCCAATGATCTGAGTTCCTTCCCTGGATGCCACAGAAGAAAGAAAGAAGGGCTCCTAAAATATGTCCTCTGAGAGGCTGGAGAGATGGCTCAGCAGTAAAGAGCACTGGCTGCTCTTGCAGAGGACCTGGGTTCGATTCCCAGCACCCACATGGTGGTGTTGAACCATCCTTAACTCCAGTTCCAGGGGAATCTGAAGCCCTCTTCTAACCTCCATGGCATTGCACAACATGATGCACTCACATACATGTAGGCAATACACTCGCACACATTAAAAAAATAATAAAATATATTTTTTAAAATTGTCCTCTGAGCTCCACATGCAGATCGTGGCTCACACACACCGCACTTAGAAATATCATACACATACATTTTTATTAATAATAAATTTTAAAGGTGGATAGTATTCTTGGGCTGAAGAGATGGTTCAGAGGTTACACTGGCTGCCCTTCCAAAGGACCCAGGTTCGGTTCCCGGCATTCACATGATGGCTAACATGTCCATAACTCCAGTTCTGTGGAATCCAACAGGCATTGTATGCTCATGGCATGCTTACATACATGCAGGCAAAACATTCCTAACAAAAATAACTAATATTTTTAAAGATAAACAGCATTCCTGAGGTACAGCACTCAAAAGTTGTCCTCTGGCCCTCAGGTGTGTACACACTCATAGGTGCAGTTGCACACATGCAAGCTTGTGCACACAGAAAAAAAAAAAAAAAAAAAAAAAAAAAAAAAAAAAAAAAAAATGACAGAAAAATAGTTTGGCTGGCCTTATTAACAGAATTGACATAAGTATACAAAGCATCTAAGTCAGTTAAGTTTATGTGAATGTCACAAATTAAGTCCCAAAGTTCATTTACTGTGCTAGACACACAGGTGTTATGGTATTAATGATACATTACACTTTCTCTTTTTTTGTGGCGGTCTTTTTGAGACAGGATCTCCCTTCTCCATGTGCCTTCTTTGTGACAAGGTCTCAGGTAACCCAGGCTGCCTTTGAATTCCATATGTAACCAAAGAGAACCTTGAATTTGTGATTCTCCTGCTTCTACCTTCTGAGTGCTAGGGTTGCAGGAATATATCACCACACCCAGTTTATATGGTGCTAGGGGCCGTACCCAGGACTTTGTGCATGCTGGGCAAACACTCTGCCAACTGAGCTACAGCCCCAACCCTCTTTTGCCTATTTTTAAAAAATATAATGTTGAGGTGGGCATGGTGGTGCAGGCCTATAGTCCCAGCACTTGGGAGGCAGAGGCAGGCAGATCTCTGTGAGTTCCAGACCAGCCTGGTCTACATAATGAGTTCCAGGCCAGCTGGGGCTGCAGGGAGACCCTGTCTCAAACAGACCAAACAATCCAAAAATGGAGAACTTGGAAAGTGACAAAAGTAGGAAACCTAACATCATCCTCTGACCTCTGTGGGCTCTACTTGCACATCCATGCACTCATGTATACACTGTACTCACACATACACACACATTAAAAAAAGGAAAACAAGCCAGGCATGGTGGTGCACACCTTTAATACCAGAACTCAGGAGGCAGAGACAGGAGGAGATCGAGGCCAGCCTGGTCTACATAGTGAGTTCTTGGCCAGCTGGAGCTACAGGGAGACCCTGTCTCAAAAATACCAAAAAATAGAAATAAAAGGGAAAGCAATGTGTGTGCATTCCATGTCCTCGTGCATTCCAGGGGCTAAGGTGGTGTGTGTCCTGGCTGAGGTATAAAGGCTGTTCCTCTCTGCTGAGGTTTTGTCCCGCAGGGAAGCCCATGTCTGTCCTGAACATCGATTTGCAAGGAGAGAATCAACTGAAGGCCTCATTCTCACATTTCTTATCACTAGAGATTAAGCGATTACATAATTAGCCCAAGTCACATAAGAGGATTCAGTGGAACAGTTTGGGATTAAATTTGGGAATCAGACATTAGTGAGCTCTTTGGGATTCCCATATGTATTCTTAAGTGTGGCAACATGGAAATGCTTAATTAGGCTACCTGCTGTTACCCAGCATCAGGCCTTCTAAGATTAATTAGAAAAAAAATCACTCAGTTCTGAGAAAATCACAGAGGCCAACGATAGGCTGAGGAAAGGGAACTATTGAGTGGTGTTGTTCAGTCCCCTTCCTTGTGAAGCGGGAAGTACAACCTGTGTTCCTCTAATTGGCCCCAGCAGATTTTTCTAGGTGTGATTGTTGCTCTTGAAGCTAGCCAGTTTGCTTTGGGGATTCGTGCCTTCTCCCTGAAGTCTCTCTCGCTACCTGATGTGTTAGCCTCTACAAGTTTCCTGTGGCCACAGGTTGGAAGATTGTGCCACATGACCTTAACCTACTTTTCCCCCAGTGCCTCCATAAACAAAAGCCACAGTGACACTACAAAATATGTCTGCCCTCCAAGTAACACCGGTCCATCTTGCGTCCCTCACAGGGTACTTTTTCATCTGAAGGACCTCAAAGCCTTTTTAAACATTAATTACACTTCATAAAAACCTCACTGATAACTAAGCTGCAAGCCCTGCTAGCCCCATTTTATGACTGAGGTCCCAAAATAAGGGATGGAGCCTCTTGTCCTCAGATGAAGGACAGATCTGGGTCATGAGCCAGTTCCACTCCCCTGCTTAACACTCTCTGCCTTTGTGCCTGCCTCCCTGCTTCCCCAGGACTCAGCAGACCAAAGTGCCTCTGGGTGCCACTGAATGCCTGGTCTCCTTTCACCACTCAGCTGGCTTCTTTGCCTTTAGTCTAGCTTAATGTGGGGGTGTGTTTCCTTTGTGCTTGAATTCTCCTTTGGCAGTATGTCAAAAAGAAAAAGGAAGCCTCTTCCATTTACACTACTGTGAATGTGTGTGTCTCCATCGCAGACAATTTGGGCCCTTTCTGACCTTTCCTTGCCTTTTCTTCAGGACAGAACAACATAGCTATTTTTGGTGATGATAGAATGTATTTTGGAATCCGGCTGAGTAGTGCTGCCCTCTGGTTGTTACAGATGCAGCTGCAGGCCCTAGAACCTAGACAGATAATGTGGGAAGGAGCAGAGGTGAGGGGTTAAGGGTCATTGTCATGGTAATACAAAAAACTTTTGTTTACTGGTCTTTTTGAGACATGGTCTCCCTGTAGCCCCAGCTATCCTAGAACTCACTATGTAGACCAGGTTGGCCTTGAACTCACAGAGATCTGCCTGCCTCTGCTGGGATTAAAGGTGTGTATTTATTTTGAGTCAGGTTTTCACTCTGTAGTCCAGACTAACCCTAACCCGGAACTCACTATATAGCCCAGTAACCCAGGCTGGCCTCAGATTTGCAGTGCTCTTCCTACCTCAGTCCTCCTACCTCAGCCTCCTGACTGCTGAAATTACAGGCCTGAGCCACCATGCCCAATGTTGCTGCTTTCATTGCTGTTCAAATTTAAAATATTACATTTTTGTCTATGTGACTGTGCTTCACAGCTGGTGGTCAGGGGACAATTTGTGGGAGCTAGCTTTCTCCTACCATGTGTATCTCCGAGACTGAACTCGGGCCATCAAGCTTGGCAGCAAGCATTTTTAGTCACCCCTG